AAAAATTACTTCTCTGCAACAGCTTTACAAAACAATAAGAAAACCATACCAAATAAAGCCTTAATTTATTTAGAAAAGCGCTTTTCACACCAATTTGGTGAAGTTACTCTTGAAGTAAATCCTAGTAGAAACCTAATGGTGTCTCATGACTCTCATCAAATATTGGAAAAAGGTCTATTTAAAGCTTATGCTTGCTATAAAAATAAACTCCCAAGTTATTAAATTAGCCTCATTTCTAACTATAGCCCTCGAGTCATTTCATTAATTCCTAAATACTCATTTAGTTTCAACAACCAATTGATCATTGGGTCTTGGAACTAGTTCAAAAACATCATTTCTACTAAATTGATTTAATTATTTTAAGAATGCTATCATCCAATATTCATCTTATTATGCTTCTTTTAATCCTATATAAAGGCAATGTGGTTAATTTTCTTCCTCAAAAAGTTAAGTTCAAAAAACATATAAATAATCTCCTAAAATTCTTTCTTAAGATGACTCCAAGACCACATCTATTGTCTAATGCCTAGGAAGATCATTACTATTATAATTATTATTATATGCCATAAGTTCTTTTTTTCAAATTTATGTTATATCAGCATCATCAATATTTACTCTTTAAATCTTATGCATGCTACCAAGGTAAACCCCTTAGATAATAACTTGATTTAATTATAATTATAGACTGCTCATCATTTTCTTTGGTCTTAAAGTCTCGTTTAATTCCAATAATCAATTGGTCATTTGTCTTCAAACTAGTTTCAAAACATCATTTTTAATAAATTAACTTAACTCTTCTTACATCAACATTCATCTTACAATGATTTTTTTATGTTCTAATTCTGCTTATTGTATAATGGAAATGTGATTCATTTTATTCTTCAAAAAGTTCCTAGTTCTAACACATTATCAAGCATCTCAATCGATTCATTCTTAAGGCACACCCTAAAGTACATTAATTAACTAGGATGTTTATTATCATTACTATCATCATCATCAATTGTCTCCTTAAGATCAAGCATAACAATCTTTTTCACATTAACATGATCAACATTAATTTTTCTTATAATAAAATCTACAATCATCAAACATAGCATCTATAAATCATAGAAAAATTTCATCCTAAAGTTTAAATTTCTGCAAGCCCTCCTACGGAAAAATAACCAAAAGAATATAGTTCTATTTGACTTGAATCAAACTTTCTAAGATGATTATTCTCATTATTCAATACATAGCATACAACAACAAAATTAAGTCTTTATCCCACTACATGGTGTCGATTGCATGAATTTTTTTCTCCATTAGAGTCATATTAAGAGTCTATTTCTCATTTAAATCTAATTAAAAAATGTCATTTCTATACTATATAACCAAGTCTTTTTAGATCTACATCTACCTTTCTTAACATAGGCCGAATCTAATACATCTAATCTACCAACCGGGTCATCAAAAGGCCAACACTAAAGTACATTAGGCTTTCAAGCCTCTAAAAGCTCACAAGAAGGTTCTCTTAAGGATCTACCAAATATTAACCAAATTTACGACAAAATATGCAATATTCAAGGCCTCAACAAAAAAAGTATATTCATACATGATAAGATTAACTTCAAAGAGCTTAGATGATAACAAGTGTCACACATTTCTACATCCACATGGTACATCTTATGATCACCATATCATATGATTTTAAATTTGAATTTAAATGAATTTAAAGCTATCACATCATACATGTTGTTACTTCTACATTTTAATATGAAATGGCACAATTTATAATTCAAAAAGAATAACAATTTCATAAAATATTTAAATATCGCAACATGTATGTGATTAATTTCAAAGTTAACTACAACATGACAACTTTGAAATTAGTAGTACAACTATTTGCTAAACAAATACCGTAGCATCACCTATGTCATTACTTATGCATTTGAATTCAAATTTTGAATTTAAATATACAAATACTAATTTATGTATGTCAACTGTTTGATTTGAGGACTACTCATATTTGATATATGATAGTAACACAAATTTAGATTTATTAATATCTTAATTCTAATTTACTTGCTAAATATTTAATTACTTGAAACCAAACCAAGCCATGCCCAAGTCGCATGCTAGTAGATTTGTAGTAGTAGAGTAAAAAAGGATTAACATCTTAACTTTCTACAAAAATACAACACACACAGATAAAAAAGGTTGCAAAAGCCACCAAATTGTTACATAGAAAACTAGAAAAATGTCAAGACCATAGGGTTTGTGGCCCAGTTGAAATTATTTTAATAGTATTTATCAACAATTATATATGATTTGTTCTTTGTAATTAGGGAGGTGGACATAGATTGTATAAAATGAACTCCATAGTGGATGTTGGAAGAGAAATGTGGCATAGTAGTTGTCTTCAAAAAAGTATTTGAAGTCATATTGGCTTAAATTTGAAGACCATAGACCAAGATGTAAAGCATAAACCTTGATGTTGATGTCGGGAATCAAAGCTGGCGTAGATGGCATGCATAAGCCTTATAAGCACTACTGTGTGCCAGCACTATTTGCAATTGCGAGCAACAAAGTCAATGAGCGTCAATGTAATCAGGTGACAATAATCAAGATACCATAGAGTGGTTATAGTGATTAGGAGATCATAATCGGGTGATGTTGGTTTAAGAGATTGATAAATGTCGGAGGATCATCACAGAGCGATGGTGATCAAAGAACTGCTGTCCCACAAGGTGGTCTGATGACCGCGATGGTCTGAGGGCGATAATTTAATGGTAGTGGTCCAAAGATGATTGAGCTCTAGGATTCTTCAGACCTAAAAAATCTCTTAGATCTCCAACCTAAACTTCTGATAAATGGGGCCCAAATTAATTTTTCAAAAAAATTTCCTCTTTTTTTTTCATCTAGGCTTGGGACCGGCATTTACAATTTTAAAAACTTAGAAAGCAAGAAACTAGTCATTGTTTCGACAAAGAAGCATTTTATCAAACACCAAGAGAGCGCGGGAATGAACAATTCAATTTCTGACCAAGACAAACAAAAAAGGCTGGATTTTGATTTTTGAGCTCTATATTAATCACCGACAAAACTTTTAGCAACAATAACAACAAATAATATCAAAGAACTACTGGTTGTTTCTCCAAAGAAGCCATAAGAAAACCATGACAACTGAGAAAGCAAGGGTAAAAAACCAAATTATATTTCTGTTTTATAAAAAAAATATCAAACTATGAAAAAACTAATGATTGTTTATGCAAGGAAGCAAGCCATGAAACACCAGAAAGGAGTAACGACCAAAGCAAACATGGACTAGAAGAATGAAATCACCATGAGAAAGGATTAACGACCAAATACATGTGAAAGGATCTTCCTCACATATGACAACATTAGTAAATAATTGCTACGTAGCTTGCACTTATAGTTGAGATGAAGCAATTACGAATTATCTAGCAATGATTCATTGACATGCTCGAATATATCATAAGCATCTAAAAATAGCTCATCCACCGGGCCAAGAACAATAATAGCATGCGAATCTTACCTCTCATGATCGGTCGAGCAAAGCAAACGAACTAAAAATGTTTTTTCCTCATAGACGTCAGAGCGTGTTCTAGCGGAGCAGGTAAACTGCGAACAAACCTTCCTCACAGAAGAAGTATGCGAATATGCGATCGAGCGGAGGAGGCAAATCATGAGAAGGCCAATTGCGATAGAAAATAAAAATTAGGGTTGTCGCTTGCCAAAATATACAACTGCACCGAGCGCGAAGCAAGTCTTTCCAATTTTCAGAGAAGACCACCCCCCCCCCCTTCCCAAATTTAACCTTGTGTGTGATGTTAACTTCAAATTTAATTTACAATTAATTAATATTCTAATTTTAATTTGTTCAATTAAATGTTTAATCAACATTCAAATATCCAAAAAAAAAAAAAGTTTAAGCAATCAGTGGTTCCAAACCTACAAAAATAACAAACAATCCATCCCCCCCCCCCTCCCATCTAACCTTGTGTGTGTGATGTTAACTTCAATTTTTATTTACAATTAATTAATATTCTAATTTTAATTTGTTCAATTAAATGATTAATCAACATTCAAATATCGAAAAAAAAAAAAAGATTAAGCAATCAGTGGTTCCAAACCTACAAAAATAACAAACAATCCATTTACAAAAAAAAAATTAACATATCAATAGGTTACACCACTGCAATCAACTTAAAAGAAATATACAACCCTTAAATAAATGAAAAATGCACAATAGAAAAGTGAACAATCACAAAAAGTAAAATAAGTTCAAACTTCACACCCAAAATTCAAGTCTATAGATCAATAATAAGAACTTAGATTGTTTAGTTCAGGCTTATTTAACATTAAGCTTCTTTTTCCTTCCAAATGCAATATTGAGCCAAGTCCTAAACCATAGTAAGCTAAGCCTAGCTTTTCTTGTGTAGGAGAGAAACCAAGTAAGAAGAGCAAACCTCCAACCTAACTTAAGCATGCTTAGCTTAACCCCCTACTCATTCCTCCTCCCATTTTTTCACTAACTTTCATCAAATTATCTATTTGACTAAATTTACTGATTTAGCATTTACATTCACTTAGTTTAAATTCACTTGACTTGCATAAATCCACAACCAAATAGGCTCCGACTCTCTAAAGAACAAAAAGTAAAGAATGTTAGTAAAGCATCAAAAAGAAAGAAGAAAAAAAATGCCAAATGTAAGGGCTAGAAAAAAAAAACTTGTGCTCATTCATTCATGTTTAATAATATGCATCCAACCCTAAATGATAAAGATTATGCCTTATTATCTTTAAAGCTAGCAGCTTACTTGATCATATTTACCCATAAAAAAATACAAACGCTACCCACGTCAACTAGGGGGCATTGTCAGATGCAAAAGTTCCATAAGAGAAACACCTTCCCTATCAAATAAAAATATTAGCAGAGCATTAACAGACATGGTAGAAAATAATAAATCAACCAACCTAATCAACTAATGAAGCTCAACTTACTCCATCAAAATCCATATATATTCTTATGAAGCACATTACAAAATCCAAGCGCAAAATAAGTATCACTTGTTTAAAGCACAATAAATGTGCCATCCTTTTCAACCAAAATATAAGAGTAATTACGGCATCAGACAGAGCTACCTAAATCAAGCCACATCAAAAGAAAATGAATCCATATCCACGACCCTACAGGCCATCAAAAGAAAGCTTCAAAACAAAATAAGTGCAGTTCATAGATAGAACATCCCAGATCATAAAACAGTAAGATTGGCCTGAGGGACAGTAACCAAAATAGCATAGAGGGCAAGAAAGATTCACTAGCGTTTTGGCGCAGGGCACTCCCTTGCGAAATGCCCAACCTCACCGCAGTTATAGCATTCTCCAGCACTGCCGCCGCCGCCGACGCCTCCGCCGCCACCGCCTCCATACCTCCCACCACCTCCACCTCCATACCTCCCACCACCTCCACCACTGCTGTTGTAGCAGTCTCGAGCCATGTGACCCGACTCACCACAGTTGTAGCAAGAACCAGCTCCGCCACCGCCACCGCCACCACTGCTATAGCCACCGCCGCCGCTGCTTCCGTATCCACCTCCGTAGCCGCCGCCGCCACCCCCGCTCCTATACCCTCCTCCTCCTCCTCCTCCCCTTCCACCGCCCCCACCTCCATTAAACCCATAACTGCCACCACCACCACCACCATACCTCCCACCGCCTCTACCTCCACCGCCTCCGTATCCATCCCTACGCCCGCCGCCACCGCCGCCACCGCCGCCACCAGCGTTTCCTCCTACGACATAATCCCCGCCGGGCCCCGTGACATCGACGGCCTTTGTCCGGCCATCTTCTCCTTCAGAGATCGCAAACTCCACAGCTTCGCCGTCGGCAAGGCTCCGATAGCCCTCCGCTTTGATAGATGACTGGTGGACGAAAAGGTCCTCACCGCCATCATCCGGAGTGATGAAGCCGAAGCCCTTAGATTCGTTGAACCACTTCACCGTCCCCTTAGACCGACCAGTGTCCTGCGCCATGTTTCCCCCGAAGTGATAGGAGAAGCGAAGAGAGGGAAACCCTAACCCTAGAAGCCCCAAAGAAGCAGAGGCACACACTCGGCGACGCTACTCCCTATGCCGCTGTCGCATGCGCGGATTTTATAGGCAGGGAAGGTTAAGGGCTCGATTCGGCGGCCACGTCGGTGGGAGCTGGATCGGACGGCTATGGTCGCTTAGGGTTTGGGGGATGGATATGAATATTTAGTGGTGAATTTTTCTTTGGGGAATATTTTATTTGGTGTGAGTGGTTCGATTTCTGGAGCATATGATCGCTTTATTGATTGGAATTCGAATAAAATTTAAGTCATAATTCTCCTTTAGGTTTTTTTTACCCCCTTTGGAGTATTTTATAAGGAAATAAAATATCTTATTATATATATATATATATATATAATGTTATCAATATTATAAATATTTTTTAAAACTAATCATATATTAGCAATATTAATTATAAAAAATATAATCTTATTATAAAAACTTTTTAAAAAAATAAAAATAAGAAAACAGTAGCAAAATATAATTACAATTTGATCTGAAAATCAAAATAGTAAAAAAAATTGTCATAAATAGACTTTTAAGCTCATTTAAAAATATATTCTTATGATTGTTGTGGTGTCATGTGGAGCGTTCATCCTTAGAGTGAAGCACCCGCGAGACCAGATATCAATGCAAGTTAATATCAGGGGAGTGAGGTCAAGACGTCGATGCAAATTTGGTATATGAGAGGTGTTGATGTTGTTTGAGTGAGAGGAGGAGGTCATTGTGAGATGTTTGTTGAGAAGCGAGGGCAATTGCAATATCCTCGAGCATGATTGGTATATAGTGCATAAGTTGGGTTGGGAATTTTGAAATATGGTTGATTGGTTGGAGATGGTTAGTTGAATTAAAAATATATGCAATGCTCAAAAAATAATTACAAAAATTTTGAAATAGAAGTTTCCCAAAATTAAACTCAGAATGATAAAGGATTATCCATAATTTAGAAAGAAAAATATATTATATGTTTAGGACAAACATCCCCTTCTTTACCTGGAGACCATCCAAAGGGGTGAAATCCCAAATTCGGCATGCGACCTTAGGTGAGGCAACTATTCAGTATAGTTAGTAAAAAATCGCAAGAACGCCCCTAGCCATCATTAAGGGTAATAATGACAATTGCATATCATACAAAGTAAAGTAGCCGTGGTTCAATAAGTTCAATCAACATTGTTGATTTCTAAAAGAATATTTCATCACCATCATACACGTGTAAAGCACATCCACTTTCTCTTAGGACACTCACATGCATATATCCTTTTATCCTTTTTTTTGTGATGAGGAACCCCTCCGCTTAGGAGGAGTAAACCTCGGTTGACCTAGTAAGCAACCCGCACCAATTTACTCGGGCCAATACTTAAGGCTGTCACGGCCGCCCATGGGATTCGAGCCCGGGACCTAGGCTTTGCCCAGCTGAGCTCCCCCCACATGAGCTAAGTCGTGGTGGGTATTATCTTTTATATTTATAAGGAAATATTAAGCTGTAAGATAGGAAATATTCTAATAAAAAGAACTGCTTCCCTATATAGACTAGTCACTTGTTTACTTTCTCCTCTTCCAAGAAACTTCATTCTTCAAGCTTTCATTTATACGTTTACTTGTAGCTATTTGTGGTATCATAGCTTGCTCATGCCTAACAGCAACCAGTTGTAGTTATGCACCAGTCCGCAACATCTCAAATAGGCAACCAACCTATTGAAATCCCAACTTCTAATAAGCAAATACCCTCCTCTCTCAAATTTATTATTTCAAATATCATACACAATGTCCCAACCCAACTCTCCAACGACAACTACCCCATATGGCGCTCTCAAATACTCAATCTCTTTCGTGCAAATGGCTTCGTCCAATACCTGGATGGTACTCTTGTATCCCCTAATCGCTTACACATCGGAGCAAATGGTCACTTCAAACCCAACCTCACCTACAACAAGTGGTTACTTATCAACCAACTTACTATCCTCATATTTAGAAATTCTTTTTCTCTCATTACATTATTTATTAGGAGAATTGAGGGCCGACCCTAATTACATCAACTTTAGAAAATAATTACAATATTAAAAAGTACAAATATGAGGATAATTAGCAGAAAAAAATATTCAATGCTCAAAAAATAGTTTCAAATTTTTTGAAAAAGAAGGTTCTCAAAATTAAACTCAAAATGATAAAGGATTACCTAGAATTTTGGAAGAAGAGTGTATCCTACGATTAGAATAGGCATCCCCTTCTTTGCTTAGAGACCATCCAAAGGGGTAGAATACTGAATTCAACATAAGACCTTAGGTGAGGCAATTATTCAATATAGTTAGCAAAAAAATGTAAGAACTACCCTAGCCATCCCTGAGGGTCTGTTTGAGACTGTGTAGCTTTTTATAAAAATTGTTGTAAATTTGTTATCGAAAAAGTACAATTTTTAGAGCTATTGAAGAAAGTAGCTACCTAGAATAAAAATTTCCTATAAGTAAAAAAATAACAATGGTCAAATAGGAACTATGGTTACGATCTAAAAAGCAAAGCAATAAGAAAGCTATCTCAAATAAAGCTTAAATTGGATGCTTAATATTATAAAATTTTATCCATTTCCAAATTTTGTAATTGATTGCTTATTTGATTTTGATGCAAACGAATAAAAAACAAGTTATTACTATAATTTATATTTTATCATTCCTCCCCCCCCCTAATATAGTATATAGTGCAGCAAATAGATAGAAAATCTATTCTTTTTTATGGTAGACAACTTGTGTTTCATCTCAAAGGTACAACCAAACAATTCCATCAAGTTGGATCTCATCAAAAAGATGGTAGCTTAGGGGAGAATTGTACATATAACATTATAGGTGAAATCTAAAGAAACTGTATATTACATTATTTTTACGCTATATCAGTAAGCCTTGAGCAATATACATTGAATAAAGAAAATGGTTCTCTTATATATTTCTTTTGTAAAGTAAAGCTTATAAAGGCTAAGGAAAAAAAAATCTATAATGTGTGTGCAGAACATGTGTTTTTTCTTTACATGTGTATGGTGGATGTTCCTTATGTAGCATAATCATGTGATATAGAATGGCTTGTGTTGCTCTATGAGTAGGGATGAGTGGAACTAATTATTAGCCCCCTTAAATGCAAGTTTGGTACAAAGTTGATGAAGTCTATGAATCAAAAGAACTTTCATAAGTATGTTTGTTAGTTGAACCTGGGAAGGGGTTGCTGAAATGTGGATGTGGTGAGCTTGTACTTGTTCTCGAACGAAGTGGTAGTCAATATCTATATGTTTGGTTCTGGCGTGAAATAATGGATTATTGGCAAGGGCAATGGCAGAGTTGTTGTCATAGTAAAGTGTCATTGGTTGTACATATGGTATATGGAAGCCTTTGTAACTAGATGATGTCTGCAGCAGCTGCAGTGAGAGCTCTATATTCTGCCTCTATTGAAGATCAAGCCATAATTAGTTATTTCTTAACAGTTCATGAGATGAGAGTATAGCCCAAAAATGAGCAGTGACCTGTGGTAGATCAACGAGTAGATGGGTCACTCGCCTAGTCTGAATTAGATTATGAATGTAGTTTGAGCGGGCCAATGCTGATAGGTAGTTCATATGTTGTTGAGCCCTTGATATACTGATGTAGGTGTTTAAGTAGTTGAGATTGTTTTGGTAGAGGATTATGCATGTGTTGGCATAGCTGATTTACTACATATGCTATATTTAGTTGAGTTATGGTTAGGTATTAAAGAGAACTAGTGAGAAGATGATATAGTTAAGGAGAAAAAAATGGTCCTATGGGTGTGGAAGTGGGTTGTTATTTGGTGGTTATGGGATTAGACAAAGGTTTTCAGGACAAGAATCCTACTTTATTGAGTATAGATAATGCATAGTTTTTTTTTGGATAGAAATAGGAGATGTAATTGATGATGAATTTGGATTCCAAGAAACTTGGAGTAGTAGCCCAGACGTTTCATTGAGAAGGTAAAGTTAATGTTTTGGATAATATGTTTTTTTTTTTTTTGGAGGATAGATGTAGTTGAGCAGAATATCATCTATATATAGATGATAAGATAAATGGATTGTCCATGGGAACTGGAGATGAAGAGTGAAGAATCATCTATGCTTTAATGAAAGCCAACAGATATTAGGTGAGTGGAAAATGTGTGAAACCATTGGTGAGATGCATGTTTGAGACCATATATAGCTTTCTCGAGAAGGAATACAAAATTTGGAAATAGTGGGTCTTTAAAGCCTTTAGATTGGGATATGTAGATGGTTTCATAAAGGAGACCATGAAGGAAGGCATTGGATACATCTAGTTGATGTTGGGTCATTATTTGTTATGGGCAAGAGTAAGCAAAACTTTGATAGATGACATTTTTTGGCAACTGAACTAAATGTTTCACTTTAGTTTAAGTCATATTGTTGATAATTTTCTTGAAAAATAATACGAGTTTTGTATCTCTGAATAAAGCCATTGGGATAAAATTTAAGTTCGTAGGTCCACCAACAACCAAGAGGTTTAAATGAGGATGATTGTGAAACCCCTTAAGTAACTCTTAAATATTGAGGAACCTTTTGGTGTAATGGTTGAAATTTTATTAAAAAACTCTGCATTTAAGCATGCTCATCATGGAGCAATTTTAGAATGGGTGACCTACTAAGAAGTTACACTAATATGATAAAATAATGAGACTCTTAAGTCAAAGTGAATAATATCTCAAAAGTTAAGAGTTTGGATTATTATAAATGGTATCATAGCATAGTATTATGCCATACAAAACAAAGTGTAATGCCATGAGAGCCATCTCTTTAATCATGTATGGGACAAAGTGCTACATAACAGGAACCACCACTTAAACTTATAGATGCCACCTCTAGAATCCTATATGTCTGGTGGATGATTCTGAGATAAAGATACTGATGAGGACGTCATTTACTTAAGTGAGGGAGATTGTGAAACCCTTTAAGTAAAAGAATATAAACTCTTAAATATTTTGGTGTAATGATTGTAATTTTACTAAGAAACTTCATAGGTAAGCATGCTCATCCTGGAGTAATACTGGGA